GGTAGGGGCAAGGCAGGGGGAGCGGGTGGGCAGGTGGAGGGAGGTTTGCAAGCAGGGGCGGGTTCCCAAGTGGGAGAGGGTTCAGAGGTGAGCGTAGGGGCAGGTGAAGCTGCGGATGCGGGTGCTGCTGCTGCTGCACTGGGCACTGGCACTGGAGGAATCGGTTTGCAACAGCAGAGGCAGCCGCAGCAGCTGCAGCCGCAGGTGCAGCAGCAACAGTCGCAGGCACAGCAGGTGCAGCAGCAACAGCAACCGCAGCCGCAGCCGCAGCCGCAGCAGCAGCAGCAGCAGCAGTCACTGCAGCAGCACCCATCCCAGTTGCCCCCGCTCCTGCCGTTGGTGGCTGCAACCACCTTGGCTGCTGCTGCTGGGGTGGTAGGAGCAGGGGCGGTGGGAGTAGGAGCGGTGGCTTCAGGGGGAGTGGGAGTAGGGGCAGCGCGGGTGGTACAGGATGGGCTGCTGGTGGCACCAGACGTGGTTAGAAGCGGGAGTGGTGGACCTGCCAATTCTAATGTTGGACCCATGAGCGCGTGTGCTAGGCCTTCTGCCCCAACACACAGCAGCATGCCTGGCTTTCCCGGTTCTGTTTTGCCTGCTGCTTCCCTGGCTGGTTCTCACGAGGAGGTAACAGGCAGGCACGCCCTCCAAGGGGTGACTCCCCAGAGGGTAGTTCCCTTTCAAGGGGTAACTCCCCCTCCCCATCAAGGGGTAATTGCCCCTCAAGGGATGGTTCACCCTCCAGGCCCTACTGGTTGGGGAGGGAAGGGTTATGCAGGGGGGGGGCGAGGGTCCCCAGGGGGAGGAGAGGCAGGGACGGGGTGCGGCTTGGCCAAGGCAGCTGGGCGGAGGTATGGGTGGAGGTATGGGTGGAGGTATGGGAGGAGGAGAGAGGGTGGAGGAGGTGGATGTTGAAGTGGCTGTCGGACCTAGGTCTGCTGCTAGAGAGAGGAGGCGACAGCAGCAGCAGCAGCAGCAGCAACAGCAACAGCAACAGCAGCAGCAGCAACAGCAACAGCAACAGCAGCAACAACAGCAGCGGCAACAGCAGCAGCAACAGCGGCAGCAGCAGCAGCAGCAGGTGCAGATGCGGCATGGTTCGCCACAGTTGAAAGAGTATGCACCATTAGGGTTAGCACAACAACAGGTGCCAGCACAAGCACAGGCACAGCCGCAGGGGCAGGGGCAGGGGCAGGCACATTTGTTGCTCTCTCAGGCGAAGGGCAGCAAGCAGCAGCAGCAGCAGCCGCAGCAGGGACAGACCAGTGTCGCTACCCCTGTGTCGGTTTCAGCACCCCAAGAAACTGGTGTAGAAAGTGACAGAAGTATCACCAACAGCAGTGCCAGCAGCAGCAGCAGCGGTGGCACCAGCAGCAGTGTCAGCAGTGGCAGCAGGCCCCTTGGGCTCTCTGGAATTACCTTTGGGTCTTTCACCAATGCTCCCGTTTCCGGAGGAGCAGCAGCAGGTGCTATTTCCGGCCTTGCTCCCCCCACCCTCCCTCCTCCCTCTCTCAACCCCCTCCGTCCACCACCCTCACCAAGCCTGCCTCCTCTGCTGCGGCCGATCCTACCACGGCAGCTGGTAGCGCTGCCAGTGCTACCAGTGCTGCTAGTGCTGCTAGTGCTGCCAGCGGTGCCAACGATGCTAATGTGCATGGGTCCACAGGACAGGCTGATTCCTGCATCCCGCAACGCCTGCTACCCACCACCACTGCGTCCGGCCCTCTTCCCAGTCCTCCTGCTCCTGCTCTTGCGGCGTCCGGCAATGCTCCTGGCAGCATTAACGGCCGAGCCACCCCTGCCCAAAACCCTAGCCGCTTCCCAGGCCCTGCCCGAGCCTCCACTAGTGCTGCAGCTGCTGCAGCTGGTGCTGCTGGTGCTTCTCCAGGGGTGTTTGCTCCCCCTGGTGAACCGGACAAGGTGGGAGGTCACAGTCGGCCGGTGGGGCAGAATGAGATGAGCGGCGCGGGTCAGTTCAGCTTTGGACTTGACGCGGATGCTTACGGGGCATTGATGCCGCTGGGAGCAGTGCCTCTTGTGCCAGTGCGCATGCCATACCCCATGCCGGTTCCTGTCCCCATGCCCATGCACATGGGTGCTCCTCCCTTCCCACCATCCTCCATGCCCCTTCTCGGTGCTCCGGCGGGCCCAGGCTCGGCAGCAGCTCTGGCCGCCGGACCTGCTGGTTTGGCAAGCCTGGTGCCAGGGCCGCCGGGCTACATGGGAGCGCAAGGAGGGTACGGCATTGTTCGTCCAGTGGCCGTTCCTGCTTCTGGAGCGATCCCTGGTGCGGTTGCTGGTGGTGCTGCTGCTGCCGCTGCCACTGGTTCTCAGCCGTCGCATGCTTCTCCTCCTCTCTACGCCCCTCCAGGCGTCCCTCCCTCGTTCCCAGGGGCGCCGTTGGTAGCGGCAACGCAAGGGCAGATGGTAGGGTCTGCGCCAGGGCAGATGGAAACTGCAGCAGCAGCAGCAGCGGCGGCGGGGTAGGGGGGGATCCAGCTGTGCTCATGGCGTACCCTGCAGGGACTGCACCTGCGGGGCTGGCTGCAATGGGGGGGCAAGCAGCAGCTCAAGCACAGCACAGACCGCCCTCCCAGCAGCAGCACCAGCAGCAGCCCTCCCAGCAGCAGCAGCAGCAACAGCCCTCCCAGCAGCAGCAGCAGCAGCAGCCGCAGCAGCAGGTGGGGCAGTCTGGGGCGTTTGCGTCGCCCAGCAAGCTCTCCTCCCATGCTGCTCCCTTCGTGCCAGGAGCAGGAGGAGGAGCAGGAGGCATGCCCACTCTCACATACCCGCGCCCTTCATCCGTCCCCTCCCATCGCCACACATCCGACCCCTGCCACCCCATCCACAGGCGCAGGCGCAGCAGCAGCAGGCACAGCCACAGCTGCAGCAACCGCCACAACAACAACAACATCATCATCAGCAGCAGCAGCAGCAGCAGCAGCAGCAACAGCAGCAGCAGCAACAGCAGCATCAGCATCAGCAGCAGCCGCCCATGCACAATGCGCACCTGAGCCATCTCCCTCCCCATACAAGTCATGCTTATCATACCCATACCCATACCCATACCCATACCCAACACCACAGCCCGTCCCCTCCTCCCAACGCTTCCTCCTCACCCTCCCACCCTTATGCCACCCAGTCGTACCCCTCGTCCCTCCCAGCAGCCGCTTTTCAACCTTACTCGTCCCAGCCCCTTCACCACGCAGCGCAACTGCAGCACCAGTCAGCCCAAGCGTACCCGTATGCCCCATCGCCATCCCATCATCTTCCTTCCACTGTCCCCATGGGTTTCCACGCCCAGCAGCCGGGCCCGCAGTCTCAAGCCATGCCATTCTCTAGTCACTGAGTTGCCTCTGCAGGAATCACATGCTCAAGTGCTGCCGTCGCAACCGCTACCAAATCCGCAGCCGCATCCGCAGCCGAAGCCACAGGTGCAGGCGCAATCGCAATGGCAGCCGCAGTCGCAGCCCACGGGTGCAGTCTGAATCTATATCTGCTGTTGCAGAGGCGCACCAATTGCACCACCATGGAAGCTTCGACACGGACGTAGCAGCCCTACGGCGAGTGGCAGAGGCTGGAGGGGAAGCAGCAGCAAGAGGAACAGGAGCAGCAGGTGCTGCTTTAGCAGCAGCAGGAGGGCAGTGCCGGCAGTGCAGGGAGCAGCGGGTGGTGAGATGCGTGGAAGGAGAGATGGGAGGGGGAGTGAGGGATGAGGCGGGGTGGAGATGGGGAGGGGAAGAGGAATGGGAGGAGTGTGTGAGTGGGCGGACTGAAGGGGGGGATGGGCTGGTGGAGAAAGGATGGCGCATGGTGGATCTGAGGGGGAGAGGAGGAGTCATGGAGGGGGGAATGGAGGGAGGAATGGAGGGAGGTATGGAGGGAGGAATGGAGGGAGGTATGGAGGGAGGAATGGAGGGAGGAATGGAGGGGGAATGGAGGGGGGAATGGAGGTTGAGGGGCGGAACGGTAAACGAGGATAACGAGGAGGAGGATGAGCAGTTTCAAGCGGACCTGCAAAGAGCCATGCAGCAGAGCATTGGTGAGTGCAGTGCAGCAGAGCATTGGTGAGTGCAGTGCAGCAGAGCATTGGCGAGTGCAATGCAGCAGAGGCACTGGTGAGTGCAGTGCAGCAGAGCATTGGTGAGTGCAGTGCAGCAGAGCATTGGTGAGTGCAGTGTAGCAGAGCATTGGTGAGTGCAGTGCAGCAGAGCATTGGGGAGTGCAGTGCAGCAGAGCATTGGTGAGTGCAGTGCAGCAGAGCATTGGTGAGTGCAATGCAGCAGTGCTTTGGTGAGTGCAACGCAGCAGAGCATTGGTGAGTGCAGTCCAGCAGAACTGTTTTAAGTGCCGTCTCGGGCGCTCTGTGAAAGCACCTGGTGTTTATCCTGCCTTTCAGATCAGAATGCATCACACTGTATGCCCCTCAGATATCTTTCCCACGGCGCTCATCATCCCGTTGCTCCTCCAGATAATTTTTTTCCCTGCGGACTGACCCCGATTTTCTGCTGGGCCATATATCCTCCTACCTCTGCTCAACCTTCTGTTCCATTCCCTTTCATTTCACTTCATTCCCTTCATTTCACTTCATTTCACTTCATTTCATTTCATTTCATTCCTTTCATTTCATTTCATTCCCTTTCATTTCATTTCATTCCCTTTCATTTCACTTCTCTTTCCCTGATCCAATTCTTTCTCCCCACTGTCACTTGCTCCTCCCAGAGGATCTGGAGCGTTCATCTCACTCCCACTACCATCACTCCGCTGCCCGACACGCATCCAAGCACCAATCAGGAGCAGCCATACCTCTCCAGCATCAATCAGTGTCGGCCTCTCTCTCCGCTCCTGCAGCCCAGCAACAGGCCTTGACAGCCTGGCAGCAGCGCCTGCCACGTCAGCGGACTGGGATGCCAGCTGGCATTGACGTTAGGAGAGGAGAGTGGGGAGAAGAGGGGGGGAGGGGCAGTGGAGGGAGGGAGAACACAAGGGGATGAGATGGGGGCGATGGGGGGTGGAGGGGGAGGGGTGGAGATGGTGTGGAGTGCGGGAGGGGAGGATATGTTAGTGGGGCTGAGAAAACGAGATTGGGGAGTACAACTGCTTCCTCAATGTGATCATTCAGGTGAGGAAGTGTGAACATTCAGGTGAGGAAGTGTGATCATTCAGGTGAGGAAGTGTGATCATTCAGGTGAGGAAGTGTGATCATTCAGGTGAGGAAGTGTGAACATTCAGGTGAGGAAGTGTGATCATTCAGGTGAGGAAGTGTGATCATTCAGGTGAAAAATGGTAATCATTGAAACGTGCATGAGATGGAGTCGGGGAGTACAAGTGTGTCCCGTTGCTACCTTTCAGGTCAGAAGGTCTTGTCAGGTGGGCAACTATTATGAAGAGGCATAGGTTTTCTTGTTTGTTTGTTGGTTTGCCTTTTTAGTGATCGAGATGATAACAACAACCACCTTCCATATTCTTTTGTTTTTCATCTTTCCTCCCCCTGATTCCAAAATCCCCAGTCCCTCTGGCACTTACGTAAGTTCCGGGAGCGGCTGCTGCACCCGTCGTGCCACGAGCACGCCCATCAGGGCGACCCCTGCGTCGTCTGCGCTCTAAAGAGACATCTTCCTTGCTCTCAACTCCACCACCACTACCATCACTACCACCACCACTAGTACCACCACCAAACAATACCACCTCCATATCATCCTCCTCCTCCTCTACCACCAATGCTGCTGCCACACCAACCCTTCTCTCTCCACCGCTGTCGTTCCGTTTGCTGCTGCCCCTGCTGCCCCTTCGCTTGCTCCTGCTGGCACGGCCACTGCTCCACCTGCTGCCAGTGCTGCTGCAGCTGCGCACTTTGCTGCTGCCCAGTCTGCTGCTGCTGCTGCTGCAGCACCTCCTTCGGTGCGTCCTGCTTGGAAGTCCTTCCCAGGAGCAGCAGCAGCAGCAGCACCCAGAGAGCAACTCTCACAAGCTACCTCCTCCTCTTCTGCTGCTCGGGCTGCTGCTTCTGCTGCTGACGCTGCTGCTTTTCCTCCTCTTAGCACGGCTGATTTCCCCGCATTAAGTGGAGCGGCAGCAGCGGCAGCAGCGGCAGCAGTGCAGTGGTGCCATCCCCTCTAGAAGGCGATTCGTTTTCGGACGCAGAGTGTGCTTCAGCCAGCAGCAGGAGCAAGGCCCATGCATGGGGGGCCGCAGCAGGCAACTCCACTGTCGCAACCACAACCACAACCACAATCGCAGCTACAGACACAACTGCAAACACAGCCGCAGCCACAACTCGGCAACACACAGCAGTTATGCCACTGCGTTAGCAGACCGAGATAAAGCCAGGATTGCACACACCAGCACAGCAACCAGCACAGCAACCAGCACAGGTACCAGCGCAGGTACCAGCACAGCCACTAGCATCACCCCAGACACTGCTGCTGCGGCTAGCAGTATCGCACCTTCTCCCTTCGCCGGAGCTGTGGCTACAACGGCAACAGAAGCCACTTCTGTGCCTCTTTCGTCTACAGCAGCAGCAGCGGCAGCGGCAGCGGCAGCAGGGGTGGCAGTGGTGGCAGCAGCACCGGCAGCAGGGGGAGGGGCGACTCCATCTGTTCGGACGGGGTGGCACCGACAGCGCTAAGAGTGGCACTTAGCGCCATGTTTACTGACTCTGAGTTTTTTCCAGCAGGTGTGTAAGAGCGACATACCCTAAGCACTTAGTGCAACCTTGACAGCGCTCAAAGTGGCACTTAGTGCCATGCTTTCTTGCTCAGTTGACTAATCAATCGTTCCTCTGCTCTGTGTTCCGTGCCACTATGGTTTCTTTTTCTTTTTCTCTTACTCCTTTTTGCGGCATCTCTCCCCCGTCCAGTCCCAAATGAACGACGCCTCGGAGGTTCTCTTAGTAATCTTCGACTGCCTCCACCGAGCCTTCACCGAACCTGCCGCCGAACCTCTAGGTGAGGCAGCTGCCTCAGCATCAGGAGGAGCAGCCTCGGTTAATGCCACAGCTGCCAACGATTCGGCAGATAATTCTTTTGTTGACGTGGTCAGCGGTTTACCCAATCAGAAACCGGCAGGAAGCTGGGACTGCCCGGCCTCATCAGCAGCTTGGGACCGAGCCTACCTCGCAGGTTTGGCTGAGAGCTCAGCCCTTAATGCGGGATCCGTGCCAAGCCAGACTGCAGCTCCAGGGCAGAACCGTGACGTAGGCGTGGGCGCAGGTTCGGCAGCAGGCTCAGTAGTAGCAGGCTCGGCGTCAGGCCTGGCAGTAGGCTCGGCAGCAGGCTCGGCAGGAGGCTCAGCAGGAGGCTCGCTGACAGCCTCGGGGGCTAGTGCTGTAGTATCTTCGTCTCCCCTCTCGTATGGTGCTGTGGTGGCGAGGGGAAGGGGGGTGCTAGCACTAGCAGCGCTGCTGCTGCTGCTGCTGCTGCTCCTAGGGAATTAGTGGGGGTAGCGTGGGGGTAGGGTAGGTTCTACTGTTTTAGGAGCAGGAGTAGGGTCAACCGGACTGGCTGGGATGGGGAGAGGAGGAGGGCGGCAGGAGGAGGAGGTGCAACAGGAGGAGGCGTAGGAGGAGCAGCAGGAGCAGGAGGAGGCGTAGGAGGGAAGCAGCTGCAGCGGCAGCAGCAGAGGCGGCAGTGGAGGCAGCATCGGAGGCAGCAGCAAGAGCATGCATAGCGCATGGGTTGTTTGGGCTGGACGTGACGGAGATGATGAGCTGCTCGAGATGCGGCACGCAGAGCCGCCAGATGCACTATTCCTCCTTCTTCCACCACGCCAACGCCACTGCGCTCAGGCTCTCAAAGGTGTGTTTACGGATCCAAGCCTTGGGCTTTAAGAGCATGCATACCATTCTCTAACCTACCATTCCTCTCGTCCTAAGCTACCATTCCTCCCAGCTGGGCAACCCCGCCCACCGCCTGGGCGAGCTGCTAGCGGGCAGGGAGCAGCACCACGAGCTGCCATGTGACGTGGACGTGGGGAGCTGTGTGTGGTGTTGAGATCCCTCATCCCCTCTATCGCCTCTATCCCCTCTAACCCCTCTATCGCCTCCAACCCCTCTATCGCCGCCAACCCCTCTATCGCCGCCAACCCCTCTATCGCCGCCAACCCCTCTATCGCCTCAACCCCTCTATCGCCTCCAACCCCTCTATCGCCTCCAACCCCTCTATCGCCTCCAACCCCTCTATCGCCTCCAACCCCTCTATCGCCTCCAACCCCTCTATCGCCTCCAACCCCTCTATCGCCTCCAACCCCTCTATCGCCTCCAACCCCTCTATCGCCTCCAACCCCTCTATCGCCTCCAACCCCTCTATCGCCTCTCACCCCTCCAGCTGGGCAACCCCACGTGCTGCCTGGACGAGCTGCTAGCGGGCATGGAGCAGCACCACCAGCTGCCATGCGGCGTGGATGTGGGGGGATGTGAGAGTGCAGTCATCCCTCCATTCGCCCCTGTCTCTCTCTCTATCTCTCCCTATCACCTTTCTCCCTCCCAGCTGGGCAACCCCACGTGCCGCCTGGACGAGCTCCTAACGGGCATGGAGCAGCACCACGAGCTGCCCTCTCTCCCTCTCACCCCCTGTCCCTCTCCTCCCACCCTTCTTGTTGGTTTCAGCTGGGCAACCCCACGTGCCGCCTGGACGAGCTCCTAGCGGGCATGGAGCAGCACCACGAGCTGCCGTGCGACATGGACGTGGGGGGTGCGGCCGTCCCAACACCATTCAGCACATCCTGCGCCACCCGCCACAGATCTTCACCACTGGCAAGTGCACTTCGGGTCTGATAGAAAGTTTTAAATCTGCATCCGCCACAGGTTTTCACCACTGGAACCGGAGTCATTGTTTTAGGATTTGACATTTTTTTTCCACCACTCCCCCCGTTTTTTTCCGTTGTTTTGCCACTTCTCGTTCCCCCAGTGTTTTCTGACCCTCGTATTTCCATTGCCTCACTGTTTTTAGCCCCATCCTCTGTTTGGACGTGCACATGGGCGTGGGTGTGGTGTACCATGGCCTGTAATTGCTACTCATCCCCCCCCCTCCCGCTCCCCGGCGTTTTATCTGTGGTGACTCAGTCTTGGGATGGAAGAGCGACAGGGAGGAGGCGGAGGACATAGGCCTGACAGTGGGGGTGCTGGACGTGCACATGGATGTGGGCGTGGTGTACCGGGGCCTCTCCCTGCTTTCTTACCTCATTCCCTCTTCTGTTCCCTTTTCTGTTCCCTTTTCTGTTCCCTTTTCTGTTTCCGTTCCGTTGCCCTCTCCCAGTGCTAGGCTGGCAGAGCGACAGGGAGGAGGCAGAGGACATAGGCCTGACAGTGGGAGCACTCGACGTGCACATGGATGTGGGGTGGTGTACCGGGGTCTCTTGGCGCCCCACCGGGTTCGGCTGGTGTCAGTGGTGTGTTACTACGGGCGCCACTACCACTGCTTCTCGTTCAAAGCAGACCTGGGGAAGTGGGTCATGTTCGACGATACAACCGTCAAGGTGAGATGGGGTGAAGGAGGGATGCCGATGCAAGGTGACATGCTGATAGCGTGGGTATGGCCCGGTTCGCCGTCAGTAGGGGATGAGTAGATTCTCCCAACAGGTGGGGCATAGAATGGTTCACTGTCAGCAGCCTCTCCCTCTAAGCAGACCTGGGGACTTGGGTCATGTTTGAGTTGAGTCTTGACGATATTACAGTCAAGGCGACATGGGGTGGAGGAGGGATGAGGAGCCAAGGGTGAAGGGGATGATGGTGCACATGGTGGTGGCAGTGGTATGTACCAGAGTGTTCTCTTAGCCTCTGGTTCTAGGCCCTCATTCCTCCGCTATTCTTGTTGCGTGGTTCACGTGGTTGGCGGATGGCCATATATGGTCAGCTCATGCACCAGAGCATGTTCTGACGCACGTCAAAACTCTCGCTTTCCCTCTTCCCCCTCTCCCCCCCTCTCCTCCTTCCCCGTCCCTTGCCCCCCCTTCCTCCATCTGCCCCTGCTCCTTCCCCGTCCCTTCCCGCCCCTCCTTCCCCGTTGCTGCCCCGCTCTCCCCTTTTGATGCGCCTGCCCATGGAATGTGCATGGCAGGTGGGTGCTTGATTGGGGGGTGGCCGGATGTGGTCAGCTCATGCACCAGAGCATGTTCCGAGGCACCTTATTACTCACTCGCTCTCGCTCCCTGTCTCCTCGACACCTCTCTTCCTCGATGCGTGTGGCAGGTGGTTGGCGGGTGGGCGGATGTGGTGAGCTCATGCACCAGAGGCCGGTTGCAGCCGCAGGTGCTCTTCTTCGAGGCGTGCTCATGATTCATGAAGCTACTATTTGGAGAAGCGTTTTTACTTGACACGTCTCAAGTGGTTGGCGGGTGGGCGGGTGTGATCAGCTCATTTCCAAAGGCCGGTTGCGACCCGCAGGTGCTGTTCTATGTCCTTTCTTCTGGCGTACCACTATGGGGCCTCGAGATACCGTACGGCCGCCGTTGTTTTTTTTTTACGGGTGCTTGTGACTGGCAGGCAGCTTGGGCTACGGTACTACCATAGCGCATGCATGAGTGATTTGGGTCGCTTCTGGGGCAGCAGCATCTGGGGCAGGTGGTTTTTAGAATAAGGGAATGCTTTTATGGTAGGGCCTTTGGAATGCTCCTCACCAGCGTGTGGTACCTTAATAGTGCTTGACCGATTTGATGCACCATCAGAGTAGATATGGTAGCGTTGCTTGCCTTGGCGTGGAGGAACCACGTGTTTCATGTACTAGTGCTCTTAGCATAGTGGTACCTTACGCAGATTCTTTTATTTACCACCTAAAGTTACGCAGCACTTCTTTGATGAAGGGTGGGAACAAAGAGAAGCTTGAGCGAAAATGTATATATTGTCCCTTGTTTTGCAGTTGGAGCTTTTTGTGTAGTAAACTAGCTGTAAAAGTTAATGCTTAGGCTACAGTGAAAGACATGCGTCGTTCAAGAAGCAGCATGAGTGTTCTGTCTGTACCATTTGCCGCAGACCTGCCCTTAGCAAGACGAAACTCGCCACGGGCAGTTACACGTCGCAAAATACTGTTGCGAGTTCGTGGGAGGGTGGAGAGGAGAAAGCCCTGTCCGTGACGATTTCACTGTTCAACCATGTTGTAACTTTTGTCGCCTTGCACGACTGTTTCCACTCGTGATTGGCGGAATGAGCACGCTACATGTTCGCGACAACAAGTCGAAACGGACAGAAAGCGTCACCCTCAGTGATTTCAAACTCCAGTTGCGGCTGTGTAACGGCCTTTCCAACCTCGGCTGCAAGCAAAGTTCGGTGCAGGGTTGGTCAAAGTTGAGACATTTCATTTTCGTTCGCCGCATTTTGTAACGATTCTGACGCGGTCTCACACGAAGCGAAACATAACCGGGGTAGTCTGATTGGACAGATCTCTGTATAACCAGCCCAATTGCAACTTCAAAACTGTACGGTAACTTGCAGAAAACTAAAAACGAAGTTCGCCTAGTGCCGGCCAACCAGAGGCACCTGCCAGGATTTCGACATCACGCTTCGTCCAGACTCCAGCCAGACTCCAGCAAGACCCCATCCAAACCAGAGCCCACCCAGCCATAACCCCCCATCTAGCCGGGCCAGGCTCCTCCAGACCAGACCAGATGAGCGGAGAGATTGACTACAGCATGTATTTCCCGCCCTTTACTGTATTTCATTCGCCAGCAGCGTAACTGCAGGTCGCTGGCCAGGCCAACAGAACAGAAGCTGAACTTGCTGAACAAAACGCCATCGCCAGCCAAGTAGCAAGCAAGCCAGAATCCTGGATTCTGGAAGCTAGGGAACTGCTTTGGAACTCAAAACTTCAGGCAGGGAGGGGTTGGGGTCAGCGGCAGATGCGCTAGTTGCAAGTTACCATTCCAATTTCCAACCCCTCCCATCCACCAAACACGGTTTCTATTTCTTTTTGGTCTCGTTCCGTTCAACAAACGCTCTAACAAGGACCATGCACGAACGTTGTCAAGTCCGATAAGCGTTTCTCCTGCGTCAGTCTTTCCCAACAAATGCCGTTCTGTACCTTCGCTGACTTCCGTCACTGAATTATCCAGGCGACCACGGTTAGGCCGTCATGTTATAGGATATATCTCTCTAAAGAACGACGCGTGAAGTAGACCTCCCGTGTTAGCCGAATTCGCGTTAGGATACTTCCGCCTTATACTAGAATCGGCGATTGAGTAGATCGTCGAATCGCGGGCCGAGTCCGCCGTCTAGAGCAAGCAGTTACTAACGAGTGCGCGAGAATCAATATCGACTAGGGAAAGCACAATCAATCGCCGCAAATGACTCGGGGATTCTCGAGAATTCGGCATCGAACTCGGCACAGAAATTCACATTTTAAAACTCTCGAAGGGTGCACGTAGTCACCGGCGCGTAGACAGCACGGCCGCTTTCGAACGGTCTCGATACAGTCCTCATCATTAAGAAAGTATACAGGGTTGGATAATACGCATCAGGCCTCGAGATTGTCGAACGCTGCTGAACGCAATGTCGGAAACGGATGAGCTCACAGCGAAGACTGGCGGGTGGGGAGGAGCACACAAGCTAGCAGTTCCCTTCGACAGCGACGAGTGGAGTAACAGGGTTACCAGCAGCTTCAACGAAATCACCCTCAGTGACGGCACCGGTGCCCGCGGCGGCGGCGGCAGAAGCGGCGCGGGAAGCGGCGTTAGAAGCGGCGCGGGAAGCGCGGCGAGCAGCCGACACAGCAGCAGCACGTTTAGCGGCAGGAGCGGCAGCATAGCGTGGAGCGACGACTTTAGCGACTGCGGACTGTACGACCCGGCTAGCTATCCCGAGACCCCTTCCTTTCACTCCGCCATTGCGTCGTTCCAAACTGAACCGCCTCTTTCCGCCGCCGCCGCCGCCACCGCCGCCGACGACGACGCCGACCTTCCAGATGGCGGTGTCTGCCGCGCCGCCGGCGATGCGGCGAGTTTTCAATGCGGCGCGTCTTCTCGGCGTGCTGGCCTGCCGCCGTCTGGCATCTGCGATCGCCACGTCAGCAGCAGCTGCGAGATCCCCGGCGCGACGGAGGAGCACCGCAACGCTGCGTGTGATAATATCGAGGGGAGCGGCCGTCGCGGCGGTGCGACGAGCTACGACACGGACGACGACGACGACGACGAGTGCGACAGTAACGAGAGCAGCGACATCGTTGGTCGCGAGGTGATCCGACGGTTCAACAGCATCGGCCACGGAATCGGCGGCGGGGGATTATCTACCAGCAGCCTGGGTAACAGAATGATGATGCGGCATGATAAACACGTGGCCATGGCTCCTCGTCCGATGGGGTCCGGAGCAGCACCCATGGGGATAATCAACGGTACGGGAAGTTATTATTACGGTGTAGGATCTGGAAGGGGAGGGAATCGGCCGGTTGCTACTGACGGGTCGGTTTCTAGCGGGGATGACGTGGGGGACGGGTGCAGCGCGCCACATCGGCGCGCTTTGAGCGTGGATTTTCACCCGCCGCCCGTGTTCATGCACTCCCCGCGCACGCCGCCATTCGGCGGGGACGGCGGAGATTGTTCCTCCCCGCTCTTCTCCCCTCATATCTCCCCGCGCATGTCGCCCGCGCACTCGCCGCATCGGCCTCCCTCCCATCCTTGGTCGACTAGCCCGAGCGAAGCTTCCCCGCGCCCTCGAGAAGCTTCCGCTTGCCTTCCGTCAGAGCAAGCGGCTACAGAGGAGGAGGCAAGGGCGCACGCGGGAGAGGCGCTAGGGTCGAGGGTAGAAGAGCAAGGCCCGCAGCCCCAGCAGCAGCAGCAGCAGCAGCAGCAGGAGCAAGCGCAAGAGAAGCAAGACTCCAGTCAAGAAACTCTGTTGTTTAAAGGTCGGCACCAGCAACATCCCCAGCAGCAGCAGCAGCTACAGCTGCAGCACAGGCGGCGGCCGCAGCTCCCACAGCAGCAGCACCTGAGGCTCGGGTCCGCCCGGTCCGGCAGCGCCGGGGCTACGGGCCAGCATCGGCGGCACCGATCCTATGCAGACCACTCCGGTTCGGACCCAGCCCGGAGGTTCGGCAGCACCGGGAGCATCGGGAGCAGCTGCCTCGGAAGCAGTAGCAACGGTGGTGGTGGTGGTGGAGGGGGGGAGACGGCAGTGGTAACACTGTAACCGCACGTAGCACCCTCCGAAGCCGTAGCTTCGGTGGTAACCACCACAGCAGCGCCAGCTTCGGCGGCAGCTTCGGCAGCCACGGGCTAAGCCACAGCCACAGCTGCGGCGTGGCTTTAAACCTCCCCCCTAGAAGCCCTCTTAAATCCCCTGGTCAGCTTGCTATGGCTCTGAGTGTGCCTGTGGGGTTGGAGTGCGGTGCAGGGGAGTTCAGTCCGGTGACAAGGTCACCCAGACCACCGAAATCCCCGTTTTCTAATGATGCTGGGCCTTCTGTATTCTCAGCTGAGAGGGTGGCGGTTAGCGGGATTGCCGTGGCTGTTGAGTCGACTCAACGGCCGATTCCCCTGCCCTCTGCTCCCGCTTCTGCTTCTGCAGCCCCTCCCAACCCCCCTGCTCCTGTTTCTGCTTTGGCTTCGCCTGCTGCTGGTCCGGATGCTGCTGCTTCTGCTGCTACTGCCGCTGCTTCTGCTGCTGTCAATGCGGCAGCTGCCGCCGCTGCATTGCCATCGCCTCCCGATGCTGCTACAGCTGTCGATCCTCAAGCCACGCCCTCGCAGCAAGCCGCATTGCGGCTGCATGAGGATCAGATCAAGCTGCTGCAGAGGCTGCAGCAGCAGCTGCAGCAACACCGGATGCACCTGCAGCAGCAGCAGCAGCAGCAGCAGCAGGGGCAGCAAGGGCAACAAGGGCAGCAAGGGCAGCAGGGGCAGCAGCAGGAAGGGCCTGGGCAGGGGGATTTGCAACAGCAGCTAAAGGAGGCTCTGCTGCGCAGATTAGGGGAGATCCATGCGGCAACCAGTGCCACCAGTGCCATTACCAGCAATTCTGACGCCCGGGGGCTGCTCTAAGCGCCAGTGGTGGTGGTTTTCACAGGCGCCATCTAAGCGCCAGTGTGGGAGTCACCAGCAGCGGCAGCAGCATGCTGGTTGCTCCTGCCACTGCACGGGCCTCGAGTCAATGTATCCCCGCTGCAGCTGCTGCTGCTGCTGCAGGCAACCTTCCCACTGTGTGCCACTCTGCCTACCCATCAGCAGCCGCTGCTTCAGAGGGTGCTGGGGCATTTACACTGCAAATGCAAGGCACGGGTCTAAGCTCTGCTGCTGCAGCAGCAGCAGCAGGTGCTGCTCCTGTTTCCCCAGTCCTCAACCCCCCTCCATGCACCGTTGCGCCTCTCTAGACGCCCACTCTCAGCAGTTTTTCAAAACCCTCAGCACCTATATTAGCAGGGGGCTCACAGGGGAGATGGGGGAGGGTGCAGGGGGGCAAGAGGGTGGGGGGAGAGGGGGTGGAGGAGGAGGGAGTGGTAGTGGTGATGGTGGGTGTTTTGGGCGGCAAAGTGGGGCGGCAGAGGTGGATTCGGCGAGTCTTAGCTGGCGGGATTTTATTCTGCGCATGCCGTACGATAACGTGAAGAGATTTTATTCGGTCAGCGCCGTCCGGATCGGGAGCGGGCGGTACGGGGTGATTCGGCCGTGCACGCACCGAGGGACTGGAGTGAAGATGGCAATTAAGACAATCAAGAAGGAGCAGATGAAGGTGGGACGAGGGGGGGGGGGAAGGAGGGGGGAGGGGGGAGGGGGGAGGGGGGAGGGGGGAGGGGGGAGGGGGGAGGGTTAGAGGGGGGAGGGGGGAGGGGGGAGAAGGGAGGGGGAGGGGGGAGGAAGGGGGAGGGGGGGGGTGTAAGCTGGAAGTTGTTTCTTGGGGCGACTCAAAGGACTGTGCACGCGCTGGGGGACAGGAGTGAAGATGGCGATTAGGACAATCAAGCAGGCGCAGATGAAGGTGGGACCGCAGAGGGGGGGGGGGGGGGGCTGGCTGGAAGCTGTTTCTTGAGACGACAAGCACGGAAGCGACCATTCTAGGGCTGCTGCCATGCAAGGAAGGAAGCTCAATGCATGCTCTCTGCCCTCCCTCCTCTCTCCCACGCCAGTGCAAGGAGGGCGTGGAGGACGTGCGGACAGAAATGATCATTCTGGGGCTGCTGCGCCGCATTGCCCCTCAGTGCCCCTCACTGCTTGTTCTCTCCCCCCCTGCTCATCCCAACGCCCCCTCCCTCCTCTCTCCCACGCCAGTGCGTGGAGGACGTGGAGGGCGTGCGCACAGAGTTCATCATTCTGCGCCTGCTGGACACGCAAGGAGCCCCAATGCACGCTTCCGGCCCCTGCTGACCCCAATGCTCCCTGCCCCTGCTGACCCCAATGCTCCCTGCCCCTGTTGACCCCAATGCTCCCTGCCCCTGCTGACCCCAATGCTCCCTGCCCCTGCTGACCCCAACGCTCCCTGCCCCTGTTGACCCCAACGCCCCCTGCCCCTGTTGACCCCAACGCTCCCTGCCCCTGTTGACCCCAATGCTCCCTGCCCTCTTTGATGCCAGTGCAAGGAGGACGTAGAGGACGTGCGAACAGAGGTCATCATTCTGGGGCTGCTGCGCAATCACCCCTGCATCATCAACCTGCATGACGCATTTGAGGATGAGAAGGTAACTGTTACATGCACTCTTACGTTACATGCCTTGGTACATCAACCATCCGTGCATCATCAACATGCATCATCCATGCATCATCAACATGCATCATCAACATGCATCATCAACCTGCATGACGCGTTTGAGGACGAGAAGGTGTGTGTGTGGGGGGGGTTCGGGAGTGGGGTCATGCTCAAACGATGTCAGGGTGAGAGAGGAGGTGAGCGTAATCGACATGGCATGGCGTGGTGCACAATCACCCGTGCATCATCAACCTGCATGACACGTTTGTATACCCCTCTACCTTCTTTCCCCCCCTCTCTTCCCCCCTGCTAACAGTACGTGCATCTGATAATGGAGTTGTGCGAGGGAGGGGATCTCTTCGACCGAATCAAGCAGAGAGGCCAGTTCCCGGAGAGAGATGCGGCTCTCACCTCCTGTGTGCTCTCCTTCCATCCCCCCATCTGCAGCACGTGCAACTAATAGTGGAGCTATGTGAGGGAGGAGATCTCTTTGACCGCATCAAGCAACGAGGGCAGTTTCCTGAGCGGGACGTGGCCCTGGTTTGCAAAGGGTTAGCAGAGGCTCTGGTTTGCAAGGGGTTAGCAGAGGCTCTGGTGCAGTGCAGCAGCAGGCACGTGGTGCACTGCGGCGTGAAGCGGGAAAGCGTTCCTACCTCATCTCTCCCCCCTCTTCCCCCCCACTACTTCTCCCCTCCCCCCCCTCTCCCCCCTCTCTCCCCCCCGTTCGCAGTACGTACACTTGATAATGGAGGTGTGCGAGGGAGGGGACCTGTTCGACCGAATCAAGCAGCGCGGCCAGTTTCCTGAACGGGATGCGGCTCTGGTGTGCAAAGGCTTGGCGGAGGCGCTGGTGCAGTGCAGCAGCAGAGGCGTGGTGCACCGCGACGTGAAGCCTGAGAACATTCTGCTCTGCTCCAAGGAGTGCCACACGCGGATCAAGCTGATCGACTTCGGAGTTGCTGCCCTGCACACTCCAGGTGGGTGTGCCTCTGTGTGTTTCTGTGAGTGTGTTGCGGGCGAGAGACGGGGCGAGGGGGGGGGGTGGAGAAAGAAAGAGGGGCGCTGGTGCAGTGGAGCAACAGAGGCGTGGTGCAGCACGACGTGAAGCACGAGAAAACATTCTGCTGATCGACTTTGGCGTCGCTGCCCTGCTTACGCCAGGTGTGTGTGTCTGTGTGTTTGAGAGAGAGAATGAGGGAATCTTGTGAAATGCAGCAACAGAGAGAGAGCAAGATGGGCGCTGGTCCCTTGTGCAGTGCAGCAGCAGAGGCGTGGTGCACCGCGATGTGAAGCCTGAGAACATTCTGCTGTGCTCTAAGGAGTGCCACACGCGGATCAAGCTCATCGACTTTGGCGTCGCTGCCCTGCACACGCCAGGTGTGTGTCTCTGTGGGCCGGGGGAGGGGGGAGGAGGGGGGGGGGGGTGGAGGGAAGGTGAGTGAGTCAGACTCACTCACTGCCATGCACGCTCCTGGTGATGGAGAAACGGGAGCATGGCTTGAGGCGCCTACAGGCAGGCACACACCAGGTGAGCGACAGTGTTGGTCCATAGTTGGGGCTGGACAACCTTCTGTGCAGCTTTCTTTAACCTCCTGTCTTCCTCCCACATGCCCAACCCTCTCCAGGTACCTTAGAACCCAACAGGGCTGCTGGACAGGACAGGGCCTTTGGCGGCCACAGAGCGGACATATGGAGCGCTGGTATATAGAAGTCTGCATTCCACATGATCCTTCCAGCTTTCCTTCCTTCCTCCCATCTACCCTACCCACTCTCCAGGCACCCTGAGAACAGTCAGAGCGGGAACAGAGGAGTACACTGCACCAGAGGTCCTAGACAGAGCCTACGGACCAGCGGCAGATGTGCGGAGCGCAATTTCGCGATTTCCTTCCCTCCTCTCATGCTGCCCACCCACTCCCCTTCAGGCATCCTGCACACCAACAGAGCTGGAACAGTAGAGTACACTGCACCTGAGGAGTTGGACCGAGCCTATGGTCCCGCGGCAGACATATGGAGTGCGGGAGTGGTGCTGTATATTTTGCTCTGCTTCATCTCCAATCCACCCAATCCCCCTCCTCCCTCCCATCTGCCCCAGCCCACCCACTCTCCAGAGCCAGCACCGTGGAGTGCACTGCTCCCGAGGTCCTAGACAGAGCCTACGGCCCTGAGGCAGACATGTGGAGCACAATCTTACGATTCCCTTGTGTCCGCTCACACCGCCCACTCCCCTCCAGGCACCCTACGGACCGACAGAGCGGGAACAGTGGAGTACACTGCACCCGAGGTGTTGGACCGAGCCTACGGTCCCGAGGCAGACATCTGGAGCGCTGGGGTAGTGCTGTACATTCTGCTCTGCGGCTTCCCGCCGTTTTGGGCGGCGACTGACGCTGACCTGGAGAGGAAGATCCGGGTGGCGAGCGTGGATTTCCGTCACCCGAGGTGGGCGGCGGTGTCGGGCGGCGCGAAAGATTTGATTCTGAGGATGCTGGAGAAGGATCCGAGGAAGAGAATATCTGCCCTGGAGATCTTTGGTGAGTAGCAGAAGTGTACCCCCATCCATCTCTTTTTCTTTTACACCAACCAGATGTTTTTTTCTAAGTTCACTTCATTCGTAACGTGTGGGTACGCCATCTCCGATTGAGGTTTGATTCCTTCATAAATTGTCCCTCCCCCCCTCTCACGTACTGCTCTCCTGTATACTATTTTTATGCCCCTCAATACCCCGGTGTGTTTCCCCCACTTCCTCTCTCGTCTACTGTTTTGGAGCTCCTTGAAGCATGGTGTGCTCTCCCCCCTTCCTCATCTCCCCTATTCTTCCCTCACTTTCAACCTCCCCATCCTCCCACTCTGTTCCCCACCTCACCTCCCCTCTCCCCCCCAATCAGCCCATCCCTGGATCAGAGAAGCCGAAAGCAGCTGAACCCCACCACTGCCAACTGACTGATCACCTGACCATGTTCATTCGGTTGTAAAACCACCTGAGGGGCGCCACCTGTTGTGAAAATACCTGACAAAATGTAGCCAGGCTAACGCCGCCTGACTACTAAATGGCACCTGGCTCGATGCCATGTTTGATTTGATCAGAATCCATCTTTTTGTGGTCCCTTTTGGATGACCATTTCCTCACCAAAGTATAATGTGCTCCGAGATATGGCTCAATAAAGCATTGAGAGATGTGACATAAAACTTTGACATTTTACTTGTCATTGAATTCATGCTAGTGTACACAAGTGTGTACAAGCCTTCTCAACTCGCAATCTGTTGTCCATACGCCATCCAATATCGAGGAACTACCATTCATCCGTGTCGTGTCTTCAATCTGTCATTTCAAACGTCACTCTCCAAGTGACGTCACTATTTCTAGGCTCACCCTCCTAAAACCTATTCCTGGCCAGCACTCTCTAGTAGTAAAACTCCCTGGTATTCGACTTTCAGCGCTTCGTTGCAGAATTCGATGCATGTATGCGTATGTCACGGGATAGCAAAATGATGGTCACGCTGCTGGATTTATAGCAGCCATACAGGCATTGCATTCCTAAAACCATCCCCTGACCTCGCAAACAGCAGTCCTGAACCCATCCCCTGCCGTGGTGTCCCTTTTTTTTTGCGATCACCGTCGTCGAAGTCCCCTCCTGGAACTTAGAGGATGCACACCTTCCTGAGTCCTGACATGATTCTCCTCGTCGCTTAGAGGTTCATAACCTTCCTGACACCATTAGTTGACTCTAGAACCGTCATTTGACTCTACGAACCATTAGCTAACTCTAGAACCAAGTTCACTCTAGAACCATAAGTCGACTCTAGATTCTAGAACGAATAGTTGACTCTACGAACCCTCTGCGTGTCGCGTCGCCTAGAGGTTGATCCCCCTAGACTATTTCGTCTACTAAGAAGCATTTCGAGCCATGACGATGCGCTTCGCTATCTGGCAGGTAAGCGTCTCGCGACATTAAAGGAAAGCTCTTTCCTTTTCTCCCCCCATTTCTACAGCTCGACCGTCAGTTGTCTCTAGCCATTCCGATAGTTCTGACGGTTCACGACAATGCTGCCAGCACGTGCCGGCATGGACCGTCATTGAAATCTGTTATTCCCCTCCACCCCATTCCCCGCCCTCCCTCCCCCCCTCCCCCCTCCTCCTTCCCCTCCCCTCCGTACAATCACAGCTCGTCCGTCAACTCTCGTTAGCGGTACCAGTTGTCTTAACCGTTCATGACAACATTGCCAGCATGTGCGGTGTGGACGGCCACTCCATGTCGCCCACCTTCAACCCGTTGCGCGACAAATCCGGCCTGCTGTTCCGCGCCGCCCTGAGCGATCGCGTGCTCCTGGACAGGCTGTCAGCGCGCTACATGCAGTACCAGCGCGGGGACGTGGTCGTTCTTAGGTGAGTGGGGGAAAGGGGGAGAATGAGCGGGGGAGTGGGGGTCTCCTGGACAGGCTGTCAGCGCGCTACATGCAGTACCAGCGCGGGGATGTCGTTGTGCTCAGGTGGGTGGGTGGGTGGGGGTGCAAGGGGTTGGGGGAAGGGGAGAGGGAAAGGGAGGGCAGGTCCTTCCGGGACAGGCTGTCAGCACGCTACATGCAGTACCAACGAGGGGACGTGGTTGTGCTCAGGTGGGTGGGTGGGTGGGGTGGGGGTGCAAGGGGTTGGGGAGGGGGAGGGGGAAAGGGAGGGTAGGTCCTTCCTGGACAGGCTGTCAGCACGCTACATGCAGTACCAACGAGGGGACGTGGTTGTGCTCAGGTGGGTGGGTGGGTGGGTGGGGGTGCAAGGGGTTGGGGAGGGGGAGGGGAAAGGGAGGGTAGGTCCTTCCTGGACAGGCTGTCAGCACGTTACATGCAGTACCAACGAGGGGACGTGGTTGTGCTCAGGTGGGTGGGTGGGTGGGTGGGGGTGCAAGGGGTTGGGGAGGGGGAGGGGGAAAGGGAGGGTAGGTCCTTCCTGGACAGGCTGTCAGCACGCTACATGCAGTACCAACGAGGGGACGTGGTTGTGCTCAGGTGGGTGGGTGGGTGGGTGGGGTGCAAGGGGTTGGGGAGGGGGAGGGGAAAGGGAGGGTAGGTCCTTCCTGGACAGGCTGTCAGCACGTTACATGCAGTACCAACGAGGGGACGTGGTTGTGCTCAGGTGGGTGGGTGGGTGGGTGGGGTGCAAGGGGTTGGGGAGGGGGAGGGGGAAAGGGAGGGTAGGTCCTTCCTGGACAGGCTGTCAGCACGTTACATGCAGTACCAACGAGGGGACGTGGTTGTGCTCAGGTGGGTGGGTGGGTGGGTGGGGGTGCAAGGGGTTGGGGAGGGGGAGGGGGAAAGGGAGGGTAGGTCCTTCCTGGACAGGCTGTCAGCACGTTACATGCAGTACCAACGAGGGGACGTGGTTGTGCTCAGGTGGGTGGGTGGGTGGGTGGGGGTGCAAGGGGTTGGGGAGGGGGAGGGGGAAAGGGAGGGTAGGTCCTTCCTGGACAGGCTGTCAGCACGTTACATGCAGTACCAACGAGGGGACGTGGTTGTGCTCAGGTGGGTGGGTGGGTGGGTGGGGGTGCAAGGGGTTGGGGAGGGGGAGGGGGAAAGGGAGGGTAGGTCCTTCCTGGACAGGCTGTCAGCACGTTACATGCAGTACCAACGAGGGGACGTGGTTGTGCTCAGGTGGGTGGGTGGGTGGGTGGGGGTGCAAGGGGTTGGGGAGGGGGAGGGGGAAAGGGAGGGTAGGTCCTTCCTGGACAGGCTGTCAGCACGTTACATGCAGTACCAACGAGGGGACGTGGTTGTGCTCAGGTGGGTGGGTGGGTGGGTGGGGGTGCAAGGGGTTGGGGAGGGGGAGGGGGAAAGGGAGGGTAGGTCCTTCCTGGACAGGCTGTCAGCACGTTACATGCAGTACCAACGAGGGGACGTGGTTGTGCTCAGGTGGGTGGGTGGGTGGGTGGGGGTGCAAGGGGTTGGGGAGGGGGAGGGGGAAAGGGAGGGTAGGTCCTTCCTGGACAGGCTGTCAGCACGTTACATGCAGTACCAACGAGGGGACGTGGTTGTGCTCAGGTGGGTGGGTGGGTGGGTGGGGGTGCAAGGGGTTGGGGAGGGGGAGGGGGAAAGGGAGGGTAGGTCCTTCCTGGACAGGCTGTCAGCACGTTACATGCAGTACCAACGAGGGGACGTGGTTGTGCTCAGGTGGGTGGGTGGGTGGGTGGGGGTGCAAGGGGTTGGGGAGGGGAGGGGGAAAGGGAGGGTAGGTCCTTCCTGGACAGGCTGTCAGCACGTTACATGCAGTACCAACGAGGGGACGTGTTGTGCTCAGGTGGGTGGGTGGGTGGGTGGGGGTGCAAGGGGTTGGGGAGGGGGAGGGGGAAAGGGAGGGTAGGTCCTTCCTGGACAGGCTGTCAGCACGTTACATGCAGTACCAACGAGGGGACGTGGTTGTGCTCAGGTGGGTGGGTGGGTGGGTGGGGGTGCAAGGGGTTGGGGAGGGGGAGGGGGAAAGGGAGGGTAGGTCCTTCCTGGACAGGCTGTCAGCACGTTACATGCAGTACCAACGAGGGACGTGGTTGTGCTCAGGTGGGTGGGTGGGTGGGTGGGGGTGCAAGGGGTTGGGGAGGGGGAGGGGGAAAGGGAGGGTAGGTCCTTCCTGGACAGGCTGTCAGCACGTTACATGCAGTACCAACGAGGGGACGTGGTTGTGCTCAGGTGGGTGGGTGGGTGGGTGGGGGTGCAAGGGTTGGGGAGGGGGAGGGGGAAAGGGAGGGTAGGTCCTTCCTGGACAGGCTGTCAGCACGTTACATGCAGTACCAACGAGGGGACGTGGTTGTGCTCAGGTGGGTGGGTGGGTGGGTGGGGGGTGCAAGGGGTTGGGGAGGGGGAGGGGGAAAGGGAGGGTAGGTCCTTCCTGGACAGGCTGTCAGCAACGTTACATGCAGTACCAACGAGGGACGTGGTTGTGCTCAGGTGGGTGGGTGGGTGGGTGGGGGTGCAAGGGGTTGGGGAGGGGGAGGGGAAAGGGAGGGTAGGTCCTTCCTGGACAGGCTGTCAGCACGTTACATGCAGTACCAACGAGGGGACGTGGTTGTGCTCAGGTGGGTGGGTGGGTGGGTGGGGGTGCAAGGGGTTGGGGAGGGGGAGGGGGAAAGGGAGGGTAGGTCCTTCCTGGACAGGCTGTCAGCACGTTACATGCAGTACCAACGAGGGGACGTGGTTGTGCTCAGGTGGGTGGGTGGGTGGGTGGGGGTGCAAGGGGTTGGGGAGGGGAGGGGGAAAGGGAGGGTAGGTCCTTCCTGGACAGGCTGTCAGCACGTTACATGCAGTACCAACGAGGGACGTGGTTGTGCTCAGGTGGGTGGGTGGGTGGGTGGGGGTGCAAGGGGTTGGGGAGGGGGAGGGGGAAAGGGAGGGTAGGTCCTTCCTGGACAGGCTGTCAGCACGTTACATGCAGTACCAACGAGGGGACGTGGTTGTGCTCAGGTGGGTGGGTGGGTGGGTGGGGGTGCAAGGGGTTGGGGAGGGGAGGGGGAAGGGAGGGTAGGTCCTTCCTGGACAGGCTGTCAGCACGTTACATGCAGTACCAACGAGGGGACGTGGTTGTGCTCAGGTGGGTGGGTGGGTGGGTGGGGGTGCAAGGGGTTGGGGAGGGGGAGGGGGAAAGGGAGGGTAGGTCTTCCTGGACAGGCCTGTCAGCACGTTACATGCAGTACCAACGAGGGGACGTGGTTGTGCTCAGGTGGGTGGGTGGGTGGGTGGGGGTGCAAGGGGTTGGGGAGGGGGAGGGGGAAGGGAGGGTAGGTCCTTCCTGGACAGGCTGTCAGCACGTTACATGCAGTACCAACGAGGGGACGTGGTTGTGCTCAGGTGGGTGGGTGGGTGGGTGGGGGTGCAAGGGGTTGGGAGGGGAGGGGGAAAGGGAGGGTAGGTCCTTCCTGGACAGGCTGTCAGCACGTTACATGCAGTACCAACGAGGGGACGTGGTTGTGCTCAGGTGGGTGGGTGGGTGGGTGGGGGTGCAAGGGGTTGGGGAGGGGGAGGGGGAAAGGGAGGGTAGGTCCTTCCTGGACAGGCTGTCAGCACGTTACATGCAGTACCAACGAGGGGACGTGGTTGTGCTCAGGTGGGTGGGTGGGTGGGTGGGGGTGCAAGGGGTTGGGGAGGGGGAGGGGGAAAGGGAGGGTAGGTCCTTCCTGGACAGGCTGTCAGCACGTTACATGCAGTACCAACGAGGGGACG